AAGCGCTGCCGTCAGCCCAAGGCGCCCCACTCCCACACTGCTGCTGCTGCTGCTGCTGCTGCTGCTTTGGTCGGCTGCCGCTGCTGCTGCTGCTGCTGGCTGCTGCTGCTGCTACCGCTGCAGCAGCAGCAGCAGCAGTTGCCGCAGCTGCGAGAACTGCTTCGTACTGGTTCTTGAATGCGTTTGCTGCTGCTGCTGCTGCTGCTGACTCCGCGTAAGCAGCAGCATTATTTGTTTTGTAATACTCTTGGCTTCTTTCGAAAAAGACATCAGCAACTTTTGCTGCAGCAAGGCAGCAGCAGCAGAGGCGCTGCAGCACAGCTTTGGGGACTGTTGCTGCAGCAGTCAGGTGCAGCAGCAGCAGCTCTTCCACTTGTTGCTGCTCTCCTGCTGCTGCTGCTCCTGCTGCTGCTGCTGCTGCTGCTGCTGCTGCTGCTGCTGCTGAATGCCTTTTCCGCTGCTTCAGCAAATGGCTGCCACCTTCTAGTGAGTCTGTAGGTAGCTCCGCAGCTACCTGCTGCTGCTGCTGCTGCTGCCACGCACCAGAGCTGCTGCTGCTGCTGCTGCTGCTGCTGCTGCTGCCAGTGGTGGTACTTTGTTGGCTGGGCGCTGCAGTGGATTGTTTTGCTTCTGCTGCTGCTGCTGCTGCCACAGCATTGAGTTGTAGGCGTTTGCTGGCTGTGCTGGTTGCTGCTTCTGCGTCTGGGCTGCTGCGGCTGCTGCTGCTGCTGCTGCTGCTGCTGCTGCTGCTGCTGCTGCTGCTCTTGCTATTGCTGCTGCTGACTGCCTGGGAGAAGCGCTGCGACCTGACACACCTGCTCGCTGCTGCTGCTGCTGCTGCTGCTGCTTCTGGCGCTGCTGCTGCTGCAACCACACGTTTGCTTTGCAGGGAAAGAGACATCCTCGGCAGCAAGCGTTGCTGCTGCTGCTGCTGCAGTTGCTGCTGCTGCTGCTGCTGCTGCTGCTGTTGTAGATGTGCCTCCTGTTGCTGCAACAGCAGCAGTTTCTGCTGCAGCTTCTCCGCTTCTTTCTTATGCAGCAGCAAATGTGCTGCTGTCTCTTCTACCAGCTGCTGCTGCAGCACGAGGTGTACGTACATCGCAGCAGCATGCAGCGTTTGCTGCTGCAGTTGGAACTCGTGCTGCAGCGCGACTAGGGTGTCCATCTGTAGCAGCAGCAGCAGCAGCAGCAGCAGCAGCAGCAACAGCAGCATTGTTGGGAAAGAATAGCAGCGAAGGTTTTCTGGCAGCAGAAGGACAGATGCAAGCAGCAACAACAGCAGCAGCAACAGGATTTGCTGCTGCTGCTGCTCGAAATGCCGCAATCTAAAGAGCAGCAGCAGCAGCAGCAAAAGGCACAGCAGCAGCAGCAGCAGAAACAAAAGACAAACTGACAGATACTTCAAGGAAAGGCAGCAGCAGGTTTTTGGCTTCCTCCCATAGAGCGTTGCACTCTGCTTTTTGCTGCTGCTGCTGCTGCTGCTGCTGCTGCTGCTGCTGCTGCTGCTGCTGCTGCTGCTGCCCTCGGCAATTTTGTTTTTCGATTCGCTGCAGCAGCAGCAGCAGCCGCTGCTTCGCCTCCTTTTCTTTTTGCTGCTGCTCGTTGCTGCGGTAGCAGCACTTATAGGCCAGCTTAACTATAGCAGGCCAACAGGGGATCTCTCTGCTGCTGCTGCTGCTGCTGCTGCTGCTGCTGCTGCTGCTGCTGCTGCTGCTGCTGTCGCCGCTGCTGCTGGGACTATAAGTTTCGGTAGCCGCATCCTGCTGCTTGCTGCTTCTGTTGTCAATGCATTTGCTGCTGCTGCTGCTGCTGCTGCTGCTGCTGCTGCTGCTGCTGCTGCTGCTGCTCGGCGTCTGCAACCTGCAAAAGGCACCGCAACAAAGCAGCAGCAGCACATTCGGTTTATTTCTTTTTATTTTATTTTATTTTATTTTATTTTATTTTATTTTATTTTATTTTATTTTATTTTATTTTATTTTATTTTGTTTTATTTTTTGTCTTTTCTTTTTAAAATATTCTTTCTTTATTTCTTCTTCTGTATTTATTTGTTTTCTTTTTCTTTAATTTTGTCTCCTGTTTAATTTCTTCGTCTCTTGCCGGCTCTTCCGTTTTGTTTATCCGCCTGCTGCTGCTGCTGCTGTTGCTGCTGCTGCTGCTGCTGTTGCTGCTGCTGCTGCTGCGGCCCGAGTTGCTCCTCACCTCCAGCTGCGAGTCATGCTGCTGCTGCTGCCGCGGCTGCTGCATCTGCTGATGCTGCTGCTGGTGATGTCGCTGCGCTTTGCGTTGCTGCTGCTGTCGAACCTTCTGCCGCTGCTGCTGTTGCTGCTGCTGCTGCAGTCCTTGGGTGTCAGGACCGCTTCTTGCGGTGCTGCTGCTGCTGCTGCTATCGCTGCTGCTGCTATTGCTGCTGCCGCTGCTGCTGGTGCTCCAACAGCTGCTGCTGCTGCTCGAGCTGCAGCCCTTGCTGCTGTTGTCTCTATGCGGCTGCTGCAAATCTCGA